AGGAAAAGATGTTCCAACTTCTACTCTTTCAATTGGTGAAAGTCGCAGATCGCTAGCCGTTGCAGTTATCAAATTATTGGAAAACTACTCACGGCCAGTTTTTTTTTTAACAGCCAGTAACAGTTGTCGTACAACGATTGATATAGTTCTTTACAAGCATATTAATCTTTTTATTCAAATCACAAATTTATAAAATAGAAATCAAGGCCAAAAAATAATAAACACGTTGTTTTTTCTAGAAATTTAATTAGAAGGCGATGTAATTTTTCTAAGTACTTTCAATATTAAGTTCACTATGGAGAGAATTGCGTAGAATGAAAACAAAGAACAAGTAGTCTATTCCTACTTGTCACTGACAATTATAAACAGTGGCAACATAACATAAGATTTAACTTTCATATAATTATCATATATTTTCTATTCAGAATCTCATGGCATCATCAATAACTACTAATCTAACGGAAACTTTAAATTCAACAAGTACAACATTAAATTGTTATTTTTCATTATTTATTTTTTTCTTTGGCACTATTGGTAATATTCTTAATATACTTGTTTTAACACAACGATCATTTCGTTCAAATGCATGTGTATTTTTATTTATGATTTCATCTATTGCTAATCTTATATCAATATTATCTGGTTTAACACCGAGAATATTATCTAGTTGGCAATTAGATTTAACAGCAACAAATGATATTCTTTGTAAATTACGTGCTTTTATTATGTTTACATCAAGAACAATTGCATTAAGTTTAATTATGTTAGCAACTATTGAACGATGGTTATTATCATCAAAAAATGCTCAATATCGACAATTAAGTTCATTAAAAAATGCTCAAAAAAGTTCTTTAATTATTATTATTATTTCAATTCTTTTATATATACAAATGCTTTATTGTTATAAAGCAAATCTTATAAATACACCATTAAAATGTTATGGTAAAACAGTAGCTTGTCGTCTTTTAACTGATATAACTTATGCATGTTTTACTATTTTATTTCCTTTAATATTAATGACAATATTTGGTATAATGACAATATCTAATATACGTAAAGTACGAACTTGTAAACAACCTAGAAGAATACTTCAAGAACAAAATTTAGATCAGAAAGTTTTAATATTGCAAAGATTAACAAAAAAACGATGGAAAAAACTTGATCGTTATTTACAACGAATGCTTTTATTACAGGTTATTTCACTTATTTTATTAACTTTTCCACAAGCAATTCATAAAATATATTTTACATTAACATCAAATAAATTTAAATCACAATTAGAATATGATTTTGATCGTTTTTTATATAATTTTGAACTTCTTTTACCTTTCTTAGAAAGTGCTTTACCATTTTATATTTATACATTAGCCGGTGGAAAAGTATTTCGTGATGCATTAGAAAAACTATTTCGCTCAAAAAGAAATAATTAACTTTTTAAAAAAGTTTACTTTATTTTTATTGTAAATATAATTTTCTTTTGTTGCAATAAATTATTATTAGAATTAAATCTTACTTTCCTTAAAAGTTTAACACATCAAAAGTTAACTTAACTATATAAGTAAATTTATAAGTACTAGGCAAAATTTCAATATGTATAGACTAGAATTGAAGTCGATCAGTGTTGATTGAACTAACTGAGCTTTATTCTTATTTTTTACAAGTTCTTAATTAAATCAAATTGATACTTCAATTAGTATTTCAGCAACGTAGAAAAGTAAATGAGAGAGACACTAGAATTCAATCTCTGATGTAGATGTATGTGTAAAAATTTCATGGCATCCTTTATTATTCAAATATTTAATATAAATGACAAGTATTATAGGTTATTTAGAAAGAAACAAGATCATGATTAGGCTCTTGAATAGAATCTTGAGGAGTGAAATTTTTGCGACACCAATTTCGAAAAATTATTTTTGATTGGTTTCCACTTTGAAAATGGAAAAAAAGCTCTAGAAATTGCAAAACTTTTTACAAACAAGCTTCAACGATGTATAATTGATCACTGACTGTGTTAGTATAAAACAAACTGGTCCAATTAGTACTAAATCAAAATCAGGACGATCAAGAACCGGCTGCATAAAATGACTCATCAATTTGATGGAAGAAAAACAATACTTGATTTCAGGATTCTCTGAAAAGTTTACGAACAATGGCTAAAGACTTCAAAAGTAATACTGGCATTGTCAAACAAGTGCTCAATCGCGATTTCAACAAAAAATATTATCTAAAAACTAATGTTCAAAAGTTAAAAGAAAATTAAAAATCAATAAGAAAAATATGTTGTCAATGGATTTGGAAGAATATCAGCAGTTATAAATTAGAAAGAAGAATGTTTATTGATGGAGAAAATATTTATAAGAATTGTTAATTTTAATTCAAAAAATAACGTTGCCTGTGTTGGTAATCGATCCAATGCTAATCAATGCGACGGACTACATGCAGTAGAAAAATATCCGGTGCATATTATGGTTGTAATGTTGGATGGGCTTACACTAGAGACGTCCATCACGGCTGAAAGCCTACCGCTGCTGCGATGGTTTTCAAAAAAATATTTCAAATTTCACTGCTGCGGCTGTATTGGACCAGAAATATTGGTACTAGTCTATCAGCTTCATTCACTCTCAAGGCGTTTCATTTGTAAAGAATGAAATTCTATCAAATTCATACAGTTTTTCAAAGTCCTCGAGAAAAGATGCTGCCACTACCGTGATGCCGCCGTCACGACAGCAGCGTCGCCATTAGACCCCATCGGGTCCAAGAATTTCTGGACTCAGACCCGACCTGGACTTGGTGAATTTAATTTTTCTGGATCCGGACCCGGTTGATCAAGATTTTCAGACTCGAACCTGATAGATCATTTTTATGGCAAGTCAATCACATTTTATGAGCCAAAAAATCTCATATTTTTTTATAAACAAATTAAGCTTTTTTTGAATCAAACGATCGAAAATTTAAAGAAATTCGTAAAATTTTATTATATGCATCAAAAGTTTTTTTGATTTGGTTCCAATGGACAAAAAATTTCAGACCCGAACCCAGATCCGGTCAAATATAATTTTCAGACCTGGACCCGATGGGCTCTAGTCGCCATGAACATCTCTAGTGTGAGTGTATGTGTCATTTGGGTCTCCTCTTCTCTGACACCAACATCCACACCAAGCATTTATATAACAGCAAATGATGCTTGTATGTATAAATCACTGCAATCTGTTTACTTATCTATGCGTAAATTTTAACAAGTATTACGTTTATATGAGAATGTCGAAATTTTTTTTCATGTCGTTATTGCACAATGGCAACTCCAGTTGCCAATGATCAGTAATGGATAAATACCGACAACAGTGTTCGACGACAGTAAAGAATTTCTGAGAATAGTTAAGTGGAATAATTGTAGAAGATGTATAGGTAAAAAAAATCAACACAAATTTCTGTGAAAACTGAAGGTAAGAAGAAAAACATTTCAATGTTAAGTGTTTCTTTCTGCGTCATGACTTACATTTGTTTTGTCACATTTTCATTGACAGCAGAGACAGCACAACAATTGTTAAGATTTCCACTAGTTATAAAACTTATTCATGTATAAAAGGGTGACAATATTTTTGATCACCAAAATTCTCCAGCATTTATTTCGCATTATCTTTCTCAATAAAAGATGTGATTATGATTTTCTCCATCCGCATTCACACTCTGATCCACACACCTTCATCTTCATCCTCACACCCACACTCCACATCCACCACACACCCCAAATTTCACACCCACATCTACACCCTACAGCCACACCCACATCAACACCCTACACCCACATCCACACCCTACCCCCACACCAACACCCCACACGCGTCAGGTGCCTCATCTTTGCATGAACTGAAGTAATCATTCATAATGTATGTTTTTTTAGACGTATTTATCTAAAAACAAATGTTAGGCACTATGCACTATTGAAATCACCATTTTGTTAAGGCATACTATACAATCGTTCCATAAAAAAATCAACCAATTTTCTGAAAAATCATTTCTTCTTTTCCTTATATCAGCGGCTAAAGTTTTAATCTAGTGTGATTCATGCAATTTTTTATACAGAATTATATATACAACAAATAAAAATCTAAAATATTCATTTTCGAGATAGTTTTTTCAGTTACTGGTTAATACCAGAATAATACAAGGATTTATTATTATTTTGATCGATGGTAAACTCGTTCAATGTTTTTGCTGAAAATTGAAACGTATAACGAGTATTTGTTTTTTTCATTATATCATATTGATAATACCATCGTACAGCCCGTGCAAGTTTATCATAAGTCATTTGTTGATTTGCTTGTCGACTTTTTACTTGTTGCCAAAGATCAGCGACTTTTTCAGGTTCATGAATTTGAAAAATACCCTCAGATTTGTTCGTATAAGATGCATACGAAGCATAATATGGATTCTCCAGAAGAAGAAGAAAAAATTGGTAAAGGCGAGGTGGTCTCTGACGCTTGGAACCTTTATCCATAACTAACCATTCTTTTTGATTGATTGGCATATTGTGCAAGGAACTGTCGGGTACATCACATGTTGGTTCTAATTCTTCGGATAATCTCAATAATTCTTGCATGAAACTATCTGAACCGTTTAAATCGAACGTTGGCAGATCTGGATCATCAGAAAACATATCAAAATCGTTCTCTGATAGTAATACGTCTTCAAGAATATCAATTCCTAGTTTCTCACCGTTGTTATCCATCATGATAAGAAATAATCAATATAACCTAAATGTATTGCAGCAAGATTGCTAGAATGAAAAAAAATCTATAAGACCAGTATTACACGATATATGAAAGTAAGAATAGTGAAATCAGTATATATATATATATGCATGTATGACACACCTTAAAATGAAATAAAAGTATTTGGAAAGTCCCAACTTTGTTTGAGTGGCCTTGAAGAACGGACAAAGCGTGGTTAACACTTAAGACAGAAACAGAAAGAAAAAGCCAACACATTGCGTGTCACGCTGTCTATAAACATTATCACGTGTACGACCATTGCAGTCACTTGGAAAAATCCAACACGTGTAATTATTTTTACAAAAATATTCTAAATAAATATGAGTAAGCTTAATAGTAAAACCAATGAATTGATTTATGTTTTTTGGTTATATCCAAGAAATTATGATTAAAACTTGTTTACGAACTATATTGATAAAATCTTGCAACATACATTTTTGGTATATTCAAAAATGGATTTTTCCGATTGTAAATGATGCAAAGAAAAAGATTTTGACGTCATCGAATGATGAAATGAGTAAAGCGTTGTATAAAATTACTTTTTTCATGTTTGAGAAGTAAATGCATGGCATTCAATCGTTAACAATCATTTCACCATTGAGAAGCTTCGATTTCCACTGATTTTATTGGATTTAGAAATCTATTAGTCAAGATAGTTATTATGACGAGCAATTCTTTCAGAACTTCATGATGAATACAATTCAATCTAATCATTTTAAAGTAAATGTAAACCTTATGATATACCTGTTTGAGGTGTCTCATAAATTATGGCATCGCTTTATGAATGAATTTCGATCTAGATGAAATTAGAAAAGAAAAAGGAAGTAACAATAAAATAACTGAAATTTATCATCGAGAACTACAGACACTATATGTTTATTAGCAATATATCAGCAATGAATGTTTTCGATGGTTTTAACACAAAAATTTCAATCATTTATTATCAATTCAGAAAAAATTTATTCAAATTGATATGTCTATCGAAGTCATTATCAGTTGACTGAGAATTCAATCTCTAAAATATATCTAGAAAAGAAATATAATTACAAAATTTCAAATTATAATCTAACTTATAAATAAATTTCATGAACATTAGAATACATTCGAAGTTTTAGTCAAAAATAGGAGATTCTTTCTTGTAATATCGAAAGTTTTAAAGATAATTCTATTTTACCAAGAAAGTCTAACAAACAACTTTTATTGAATATTCAATTTCTCAATCAAGAAATGCGCATTTCAATTGAAATTTCTCAGATATTCTAACGACTATCACATGTATTGGTGTAGAAAATTCTAGATTTAAATTCTGTCAAGCAGATTTTTGGTCAATATCTTTCTACAGCTTGAAATCTAAGTAAAATGATCATAACAATGATAATAAGATCCATGAGCACAAAATATTCTAGATTCTTTTCAATCTCATGAAAAGTTACGCCTATTGATAATAATCGATCAGGATTGTCGGGAATCTCGCAACGATTTCCTTGTCAGATCACAGTAATGTTAAATTTTTGACAATACTGTGAGTATACTGCGTACTAAAAAAAGATTTTAACGACTCATAGCTGGAAGGTCACACTTTTGTTTTTGATTCAATCAGATTCAACAAATTCTCCGATTATAATACACCATTATTTTCTTTAGAACATAGCAATTACAAGATTACTGAATGTAAGCTATGTTCTATAACTATTATCTTCAAAAGCGCGTATTTAAAAATTCTTTTACTTTGTAAAAAAAACAATTGAAAATTCTATTTCCAGCAGTGTATTGAATTCACGGTAACAGTCTAGAACGTCCTTTAAAAAAAATGTCTTCGGACGAAATATCCTCGTATTTCGTCCTCAGAAAAAATGTAGGTGTGGGTGTGTGAGTGTGTGGGTATGGATGGGGTAGGAGTATGGGTCGGTCGGTGTGAGTAAATTAAAGATCTGTAGTCACACCCACACCCACGAGCATTGTTTGTGATGAAAAGTTGTAATCATTCACCATTGTTTCCTTTACTATCTTGTGTATCGCATAGATAACTTTTGAAAAATCTACTATAGATATGTACACATTAGATCGTACAAAAGTAATCGAGATGGGCAACTTCAACTTGGATTTGAAGTTAACTCCGGAATTGATACTTTTTCTCATCAGAGTTGGAGCGGCACGTAGTGGAGCTATCCATCTCTAGAAAGTACTAATGGGAATGTAAAAACACATACTAACTTATAGTTAGAAATTATTCGGTCAATAAAATACAATTCGGTGAATGTTGCATAAGTGAAATTCAACAACCTTGTATTTGGCGATGCAGTGTATAATTAATTATTCGCAATTAGTCAGCAAAATGAGTGAATGGTTTTTGAAATTCTATAGTCCTTCTATAGAACATTTTCACATATATCCATCTACGAACCTTGCAATCTTCACATGGAGTCTGATAAACATTACAGTCAATATTTAGATAATCTTTCCAACTCGAAAGAAAAAAAATACCAGGCTTTTGTTGACTCGTGATTCATATAATATGACGAAAAAAAATAACACTGCTTTTGTTCTTAAGCAACCAGATAAATAGTGAGTTATAAAGAAGTCTGTTCGTAATTTCGCAATCAACGCCCCACTTCCGAGAAAAAATGATGAATTTCTGTTAATATTACTTCAACTTCAATTCTAACGGGTGGGGCAAAAGTTTTGCATTAATTTTGTTTTTGATATAACTCTGCAACGCAATATCGTACAGACTTGATTTTTTTTTTGTTAGAAAGAGCAAAGTGTCTAGTGCAAGAATATATAAAAGAATTTGATTTGTAATGTTTTTCGAAGGCTATAATAGTTTTAGAACACAAGGCTCCGAAAAACTCTTCCGCAACTTCGGTCACATTTTTTTAATCCAAAAATATTTGTTTGAGTCTTTTTCATTAGCCACTTTCGAGCACCATATATATACAGTTGCTCATTACAACGGAGGTTTTCATTTGGTATTAAAATAATTGGTATAACATACAAGAGAATAAACAAATGACATGTTGATAAAAACAAATTAATTGTTCGAATTTGGTTTTGCAGCGTAAAAATAAGTTTTTTTCTGAATATCTCATAGAGAAGTTGCGTCCTATTCCAAATAATATCGTCTGATAGAGGACTCAATAAACTTCCTTTTTCATATAAAATATATAGCTTCTAGCAATCTCTCCTGCGAAATAGAGTTTATTTTTTCGATTGCTACCAACAATGATAAATAATTTACGAAACAGACGATATCATAAAAGCGTTCATTTCGACCGTTATAAAACATGTAGAAAATTTCTTTTTTTTTAACGCAATAGTGCTCTATCCTTATATTATAAAATCCGGATTGGACGAATAAAAAGATAACCTGTCTAATTATAGGAATTTTTTTCTAAGTTCAAAAAAGTTGCGGAAGAGTTTTTCAACGCCTTCTGTTCTAAGATTGTTGTAGTTTTCGAAAAACATTTTCAATCAAATTCTTTTATATATTCTTGCACTAGACACTTTGCTCTTTCTAACAAAAAAAAATCAAGTCTCCACGACATTACGTTGCAGAGTTATATCAAAAACAAAATTAATGCAAAACTTTTGCCCCATCCGTTATCAAAGTAATAAAAAATATTGTATCAAAATAAGAGGTACCGAACCAACGACAACAAAGTCTTTTTTTTCTATATAAAGAAGCATCTGCAGTTCTAGAAATCATTCTAGAAAGAAACTTTCAGACAATTAAGTCGATCTCAAAATTCTTAGGCGATCATCAACTTGGTGACACAAATTTTGAAGTCCAGGCTAATGTTTTTGTGGACGTAGATGTCAATGAGAGTGGGTACGGATGAAAACGGGAAGTAGACACCCACACACCACACCCAAACCCGTACACTCACACCGATACATCACACTCCATATTTACTTTTCTTTCCTTTTTCTTCTAACAGTATGCTGCAACGACTGCTCGCGTGTTTATTTATAGACACAGATATGAAGCCATTTAAGTAAATACAAAAACACTTTACAAGTGTCATTTTCACGAAGACAGTGGAAAAATGAATCAAACTCAAATCGAAAAAAAAAACAAACTTTCAATATTTTCGAAAGTAGAATAGAATTGATAAATAAAACTTGCACTTTATTGATTATTTTAAAATTTATTCACTAAATACTTATATAAACTTCTATTTCAATTTTAATTTATACCTTAAAATAAAATTTATATTTAACTATTCAGCTTTTACTATAGTTAATTGTTGACTAGATATTTTTTTCATCTAATTTTGATGTAATGTCATGTCTTTGAATCTTTATTTATATTTAAACTTGAATTATACAACTCATGTAAAGAAGACAAACATTTATTCTTTTTTTTGTTTTTAAATATTCGTGTACGAACAATGCAATAAATGATCGTATGTTGTCTTATCTTTTATTGATCTCTCAAAATGTTATCAACAATTATGGACATTCTTTCCAAAACAAATATTCTTTTATGCACATAAAAAAATGAATTTACTATCTTAGATGTCTAAAAATAGTAGCTCAAGATTATTTTATGACCTAAACACATTTAAAACTAATAGAGAATTGTCAAGAGTCACAATCAGTTTCTTCCAAGCTTCAGTAACAAATTGTTCAATCATTTTAGAGATATCCACAAGATTTTTTTTTTTTTGATAATTAGCATCAGATTGATGACTTTCAACTGTTCACATACTGGCAAAAAGAACTCAACAAATGGCACCAACTCGCATAATAACAATTTAACTATTTTCTGTTTTTACTGCAGCTGCTTTGAAAATATTTATCATCGATAGTGGAGATCCAATGTAAATGCATCCACCGTTGCGTACTAAAAAAGGGATCCAAGTAAACTTTGCTATCCAGAAACTACTATGAAAACACAGAGTTTTGCTTCAAGTCTCAATTATTGACTCATTTACTTTATAATGAATCTTGTACTTGAAATTCTTGAAACATTAATAAATCCATTAGTTCATCATGATAATCATTATATTATAATTATTATTTCAATCTGATGCAAGAATGACAATGGAATTGAATCCATATAAGTTCGTATCTCATGTATTTATACAATGTTTAGTTGATGTATGATAAAATTCCTTAATTCACAATAGCATCAAATCAAAATTGAAATCCTTTCGAAGTAAACAGACATCCTATTTCATAATAGCATACAATCGAAAAAATGTCGATGAGAAAATTATCGAAAAATAAATGTTGAATGAAATTTACATTGATAGACTCGAGGTTTTGAGTGTGCATGTAGGTCAAAACCTTGGGAAGTCAAATTTTCTCACTCTAAAAATTTTTTTTTAACTGTCATATATACTTTTTATTGTACTACTTGCTAATGAGAATGTCTTTCTGATGTTTTTCTTTTCCTTGTAAAAATACTTGACTATTTAACTCCGACATTGATTCCAGAAAAATTCTTCACAAGCACTCGAACTCTGCCTTCAATGCAGCGCTCTAGTAATGGTCTGAATGTTTACTCTTCATTTTAATTCATACTCACACTCTTCATACCAATTCGTTTTTGAATGGTATCGGTTGCATTTGAATTCGGGCTTCGTTAAGAATTTGAGTTGATTTCGATATATTAGTATTTAAAGCAAATTTTTTTTAATTCATAGGACATCTAATGAATAAAAATTTCCAAATTTTCTTCATCGACCAAACCAATGCCGCTCTGTTCAATGAAATAGAATTATATTTATCAACAAATTAAAGATTTAAATGCTGCTCGAATCCGTTAAAATATATATAAGACCTATTTGTCATCATTATTACTGTCAGTATGAATTATAATTAATGAAAGCTATTATGAATATTTGTATAAGTTGTTAGAGAACGATCAACAATAATAATGCATTTAAGCGTTTACGCGTCTTCTTAGTAAAATTAATTCTTTTAATCATATCTAATATTTGACTTTGAACTTTTTTATCATTTTTCATATTGCATTGGTTTTCGTACAATAAAACTGTTTTGCTTACTATTTTTATATTGTTTTTCTTTTTTTACTAAGCTTCAAATTTCAACTAGATACATTCTCATAAGAATATTTTCTGTGAATAAAAAACGGGCATAGCATAAAACATGATTGTCTCTTACAATTTGACTGATACTAGAGATTTTGAAACAAACTAAAGTTAGAAAAATATTGAAAATTCTCTTAAAAGATATCTAAATATGTCTGGGTAATATGAATATATATTTTATTTTATTTAAAGAATCTGATATTTGAATTGAATAAATAACAAAAGTAGAGTAACTAAACGATGGATCATCGATTGGTATTTTTCATAGTGTGACTCGTCAATAATTCAAACAATACTAGATATACGTTTCTCTATTTGAAAAGAAAAATTTTCTTTGATTTTTCATTGTATTTACAATAAAGCTTTTCAAAACAATTAAAAACATCATGTTTACGTCTTTGTGACTATTGCCCTATGGTAACGATTTTTTCCCCGTCTCGTCTCCCGCGAGAATCCAGAACGGGAACTATATTAAACAAAATAGGCGTTGGTGAACGTTGTTCTGTTCTGTTTTATGTATATACTCTTATTATTGTTATTGTCTTCTGTTCTTGAATGTTTTCGTTTTTTTTTCTTGGTATTGACAATGCACTAGTATTTGTTTTCTCTTTTCAATTGTTCAACAGATGAAGGAAATAATTCTCTTTACTTAACGTTGATAAGTTTCGATATATAAATAATAATTGATTCGTTTTACTAACATATACCTCCAATAATAATTTTATTTTTGACTTAGGATTATTAATCTTATGCAAACTATGATGTCGACAGAGGCTAGTATCTAGTAACGATAGTTTTTTCAAAGAAGCAAAACGAAGTTGTCCTAGAAATTCTGAAAGCATTATGAAAATGCGAATGCATGGGGATCGAGAAAAAACGTTTCTGCCAGACACTATTGTGACACGGTAAACATATCATGAAGAAAATTATCCAGCTTATTTCATAGCTAAATAAAAAGAAAAGAAAAAATATGAATAAATATTACTTCCTTACCGCGTGTATACAATAATAAAAACAGTTTGTATTCAAGCAAAAAAAAAAGAACCAATAGAAAATCAGCTGCATTTTCTTCTATTCATACATATTATTTGTTACATATTTTTGTTACCTTTCATCGAAATAATGTCGTCATTTTATCCGCGTTTTCTTCTCATGTAATACATTAAATTGCAATATATTATTCAACAATGTCTGCCAATGATATACAAAATACTACTCACAGATTTTCTGATGCAGCTGGAGAACCATGTGTCATGTTAACACCAATTGAAGGTTTTAATAAAAAACCATTAGTTACACTTGAAGAAGCTACTGAACCATTGAAGAACATTGTTCCTTGTATTAGCACACATGCACATACAGCTAAAGAACGTGCAAAAAATCCAGCAGATGATCTTTCAGTTGATGAATCAGCTTCAATTGCATTGTATACAATGGAATGGGAACCACATACAAATTCACTTTATTTTATTCTTAATTCTACATTACGTAATGAAGATCGAAACAAGTTGAAACCATGGTTTCTTTATCTTAAACTTATCATTACTGCATTATCTCGTCTTCCATCATTAAATCTATCTATTTATCGTGGAGTTAAAGGAATGGTTGCTAGTGAACATGAAAAATATAAAATAGGAAGTAAACTCGTTTGGTGGGGTTTTTCATCATGTTCAGCAATTCGTGATATTTCTGAAAATGATCATTTTCTTGGACAAACTGGTGCAAGAACATTATTTGTTATTGATTGTATTAAAGGAAAAAATATCCAAAACCATTCACGTTTTAAAAAAGAAAATGAAATCTTACTTTTACCTGCTACTCATGTTGAAGTTATTAGTTATGAACAACAACCAAATAATTTACATGTTATTCATCTTCAAGAAATTGAATCATCAGATATTCTTTTGGAATCTGTATCTGCAGAAAAAGAGATTCAAGATTTTAAAAAAATGTCAATACGAAAAATTAAGCTACGAACACTAATAATGTCTTCCATGATAATTGGCCATTATCGTAATACCAAGCTTAAAGCATATATGCAACAATGCAAGTCTGAATCTGAAGCACATTTAAATGGAAGACGTCTTTCCAACTCTGAGGTTGAAGTTGTTGTTCAAGAATTAATACAAGAGAAAAAATGTCGATCTTTATTTTTAAGAGATAGTCATATAACGTCTGAAGGAGCATTGATTATTTCTGAAGCTCTACGTAAAAATAATACATTAGAAGGATTATTTCTTGCTCATAATCAACTTGGTGATGATGGTACTAAATATCTTGCTGAAGCACTTGACGGTAATAAGAATTCAACTATTAAACAACTATCTCTCTGTGATAATGGTATAACAGATAAAGGTATTGAATATTTAGCAAGAATGTTGGAATCAAATGCAACATTAACACATTTATGGTTAGCATCAAATAAAATAAGTGATCAAGGTTTAGAACTATTATCTGAAGTGCTTATTAATAAAAATAACACTTTACAAGTACTTTCACTTGAATGGAATAAATTTCATAGTGCTACAAGTATTACTAATCTTGTTGGCTTACTTAAAATAAATAAATCCTTAACAACACTTAATTTAGAAAATTGTAGATTATCTGCATCTGGTGTCGAACAGTTGAAAATTTTAGCAAGAAGAAAGAAAAACTTCGAATTACTCATACACTAATGCTTAAAATACTATTTTGTTGTTTCTTTGTTGTACATTTAGAATATAAAAATTTTTTTATTGAATGAAATCAATGTAAAACTTTGATAGAACATTAATGAACGCTTTTTCATTCAATAATTACAGATTAGAGATCGAAATTGAATCCAATCGAATGGAGATATCTTTATTCGATATTTTCTTTGGATTACGGTACCATTGCAAAAAAAAAACCAACAAGAAATAATCAAAAATAGAATAAGTTGAAACATATTCTATCACGCTTTGATAAGTAAGAACAAAATACAGATCATCTGTTATTTTATTAGAAAAAGGCAAGATAAAATGCAAATTATTATCTTCGAGTCTTTTGCTGAACGTAAATTCTCATTATTCTTTTTGAATAGCCATTGTGTAGAACTTGAACGTGGTAAAATCAAAAAAAAAGATCGAACGAAACTTGTTTCCTATGAAAAATAGCCAGGAAATCTGGAACAGAAGAGCAAAGATTTGAACTCTCAAATGTAAATTTACAATTGACTCAAATAAATTATCCAGATAGAAAGGAAAACAACAACAACAACAATTTAGAAGTTTCAATCAAGTCCATCTAATTTGTTTACACAAAAGTATTAATTGCCCATATGTAATCAAATGAAACAGATATATACTACAATTTAATTATTATTTGATTGGTTCAGCAGTACTTTTTCGATGACTATGTGACAGACAAAATTAGGTTTGTTTTGGCACTTCTATCAAATACAATTTTGACTCGGCAGAATTCGTTCTCTGTTCATGATTATTTAATATCATCTAACTACCAATTTCTTTCATTTCCGTAAACAAAGTTGGTTGAGTGTTAAATAGCTTTCAATATTTTCTTTTGCAATATCAACAATAACATTACAACAATCTACTTATTCTCATCCTATTATCAATAATTTTGTACGTGAAAAATTTTATGAACTTGCTAAAAAACATATTGATGCGTTAAATCCTAAATTTCGTTATAAAGCTGTTATCACTTGTATTCAAAGCAAAAAAATAATCAATATAGTTCAGAACAAGCTATCTACTGAAAAAGTTTCCGATCGTTTTTCTTACCGATGCAAACAAACGTTCACGCTTCGTCTTATATCACCGGTCATCAAATTTGATGTGATTTTAAAGAAGTTAAACCTGTTCTTTTATACGAAGATATATACTATGTTTATCAGACAAGCCACAGTATGTCGTAGAAAATTTCCTTTCTTTTAGACAGTTATCCCATCTCAACCGGCTCTTCTTCGGGATACATACCCTATGCACACATTGGCTGGCGCGACAACGAATGGGGGTGAAGGGGTGTGCATACTCTGAAGAAGTACCTCTCAATCCATTTTCATTGCTTGCTCGAGAAACATTCGATTCTTTTAGACAATCACCCCACGTCAATCTATTTTCATCAAAACAGGGCATATAGATACTGTAGATAAAAAATGATTTACTCACAATAAAATTTAACCAATCATCAAAGTCTCCACAAACAAATTTAAAATGATTTTTTCATTTAATACTAAAGTAATTGAAAAAGGTGATGAAGAATGCCAAAGCCTCTATATCAATTTGTTGCTTTAATCTCAGTTATGCACAGAGCTAATTTTGACTAGACAAAATCATATCTAATATTTTCAAAAAAAAATTCCTTCTTTTCTTCTGAAAGTCTTGATTCGTATATCACATTGTAAAGAAAAACTTTATTTTTAATTGCTGCGAAAAAAATCATCAATGTAACGTATGTAGCCGGAGAGGCTATTGCTACAGAAAAGACCAATATTCTCTGTTCATTCTTAATTTTTATTTCTCTAAAAGTTCGACTCATAACTCCAATATGAGAAGTTCTAGAGAAATTTATGAACTTATATCCGAAAAAAAAACACAAAATTATGATTCTAACGAAATTTTTCGAAATTTCTCCAGACTCATTTAGGAAACTGAACATTTTATCATATTGCTTTTCCATCACCTTTTATCATCGAATAATTTCATGGATATAAAAGAAATAGTTTCAATCAATAACGAAATATTTAAATTGAAAATCATCGTTCGAAAACAGTCATTTCATTAAAAAGATAAGATATAAAACAAAAAAACGATTGGCTCTATTCTCATATTTTTATATGAGAACATAAAGAAAAGAATGACATTTTTTTTTACGGAATATACAGTTCACAACTAGTATTATCAATCAATGAGGATAGGAAAGTGAATGATTATCTCCTTTAGAACATAAAAATTGACAACACTGTACGATTACCGAATGCAAGCCATGTTCTATAACTACCATCTTCAACAGTGCGTATTTAAAAATTGTTTTACCTTTTAATAAGCAATTGAAAATTCTATTTCTTGCAGTACATTTAATTCATTATGTAGCTCTTGACAAAAGAAAATCAGTCATCATCGATTAATACTATGTACTACTTTTTCATCTAATTGCAAACAGTACATAAGCATTATATATAACGAAATATTGCAGCTATGTGTCAGCATTTTCTGTCCTTTCATATGAATAGAATAGCTCACTTTTGAAAAATGCACTATAGATGTGTATACATCAAGCCGTGTGAAAGTGATGGCAAGGATGTAAAGATGCAAAGCAATTCGCCAAATATTACATAACTGAAATTCAGCAAACTTGTTTTCAGTGATGCAATGCATAATTAATTATTCATTATTAGTCAGCAAAATGAGTAAATTATTTTTGAAATTCTATAGCCCGTCTATGGAACATTTTCACATACATCCCTCTACGAATCTTGCAATCTTCGCATGGTGTCTGATAAACATTACAGTCAACATTAAGACAATCTTTCCAACTCAAAAGAAAAAACAAACCCGGCTTTTGTTGACTCATGACTCATACACTGCGACGAAAAAATAATAATGCTTTTGTTGTTAAGGAATCAGGTAAATAGTAAGCTACAAAGAAGTCTATTTGTAATTTCACAATCAACGCACCACTTCTAAGGCAACATGACAAATTTCTGTTGTACGTGTTTTGTGTAGCTTCTCCAATTTTTTGTTTTCATGATTAGATAAGATAGGTGCTTAGTGGACAAGAAGCAGTTGCCTTGTTCGAGTCGGAATATAAATGAAACTTTTGAAAACACATAGGAACACCAATAGGCGAAAACAAATAATAAATTTTACTTCAATTATAATTCTTATTTGAATAAGATCTTAATTGCCAACCAGGCAATTTGTACATTTATCGTGGAATTGAACTAACGATAGTAATATTGAATCACCAAAGACAGAAAACTTTTAGTTCCTGGTGTAGGAAGGAGAGTACAAAATATTAACATATGTACTATGAGGAATATATCAGTGTGGACAAAAGTCTCTGAAAGTGTCCAACATAAAAAGCGGATTCAACTAGTAAATCTTCATGTAACTACCCATGTCACAAATACCGAGTCAGCTATATCCGTAAACCGCAGTTCGCCATTAAAAAAAATCGGTTAATCGGATCGGTGAATCGCCGGTTTTCATCACAGGGATGTAATGTAGTGGCATTCACTATAGTTATTTTTGTTTTCTTCTTTTCGTTTCTGTTATTTTCCTGTTTCTTGTTTTCGTTCTATCAGGGCAGTACGCCAAAAGTGTACATAGACACATATATATTATTTTTCTCTCGTTCTGTCGTCTTTTCTTGATCTCAACATATATTCGTTATTATTGATCAAGGTCAATAAAACGTTATATTCGGCCTTGACTTTATTCTATATTATGTAGATAATATTGTCTATTATGTAATATATATATTCTCCGTTTTGTAATAAAAACTTGATTTGTCGTATTAACCTCAATACGTGACAATCGATATCAAAGTAATTAAAAGCATTGCGTCAAAATAAGAGGTACCGAAACGACGACAACAACATCTTTGTTCTCTATATCAAGAAGCACTCTACAACTCCAGATGTCATTCTAGAAATCTTTATCCAGAAAACTAAGTCGATTTCAAAGTTCTTAGATGATCAACGATTTGGTGATACAAATGTTGAAACTCGAACAGACGATTCCATGGGTGTGAATGTCGGTAATGAAGTCTATGGATGAAAATGAGGAGTAGACATCCACATCTGTCACTTACACCCACTCATATTCTACAAATGGAATTGAGTTCATAGAAAATAATATCTCATGTATTTACGCAACATTTAGTTGATATGTGGTAAAATACTGTAATTCACAATAGCTTCAGATCAGAATTGAAAACCTTTCGAAGCAAACAGACATTCTGTTTCATAGTAACAAAGAAAACAAACGCATAATGATCGTTTGAACAGATTTCAATAAGTGAAAAAATGTCGAAAACTGGATCTTGAACATGTGAGTATAAGTTTGGGTGAGAGCTCTGCGATCTTAACTCTAATGCAGAGTTTTAGTGAGGATGTGAATGTCTACCGTTTCATTTTAATTCATACTCACACCCGACACTCAGCATGTATCAATTCGTTTTCGCCTTGCATAAGCTGCATTTGATTTCGGTCTTCATTAAGCACCTGAGTTGATTTCAATGTATAAATTTTGAAATGAAGTTTCTTTTATTCACAGAACATATAATGATTAAAATTACTACATATTTACTTCGACTGAAGTTGTTTCAGTATTTGTTTTGCGACATTTTCTTCATCGGTCATATCAATGTCAATCTGTTCGATGAATAATATGAGATAAATGTTTGTCAACAAATTAAAGATTTAAATACTGTCTGAATTAGTTAGAATATATATAAGATTCGTTTGTCATCATTATTACTGTCAATATTAATTAAAATTCATAAAAACTATCACGAATATTTATGTAAATTGTCAGAGAATGATCAAGAACAATAATGCACTTAAGCCTTTACTTGTCTTCTTAATAAAATTAGTTCTTTTAGTCATATCTAATATTTGACGTTGAATTTTTCTATCATTTTTCATGCAGAATTTTTCATATTACTTAGTTTTTGTACAATAAAACTGTTT